ACGTGTTAGTTTATATTCCTGTTTATAGATTTGTAACCTGTAAACATCTTGTTATTTGAAAATAAATATTTTTCGGACGGAAAGAACGACACAGTATACAAATAGATTTGCCCGATGAATGCCGTTCGGAGTGACGAATGCCCATCGAATGATCGCGAAAAGACCCGAATTAATATACAAATAACTAATTGCGTTTTTATTAAGATGCAATATAAAGCAAAATAAATTAAGTAGTAAAAACCATTTTTTTGAAAAATATTTCTTTTTGATGACATAAGTATACGATCTTGAATAAAGCAMAAAAACAAACTTATTTTGTTATATCGTTGTTCGATAATTTATTCATCTCAATATTGCCTAAATAGCATTTAAATTCAAAAGAATACCTAAGTATTATCTATAATACCTAGGAAAAGACTATACCAATTCTTTTGTCGCCCACATTGCCCAAAAAACGCCAGCTATTTTTAATGATGCCTACAGAGTGTTCATAAATCCGGATTTCCCAAATGGTCTGTAAGAAATCTACCTTAAAAAATACAACCGAGTAGGACASTGTATATKCTAGACATAACTCTTCTAATTTAGTTGAACTAAAATCATAAAGTGCAATTAAGGAACGACGCATGATAGTATGCATTTTTCATTTAAATTCTGATATTATATACATATAGATTTAAATATTATTCGTATGTATATATATATACATATAAATTATTACGGTAATCCTTTACCTTTCTATCATTTAAAAATGTGTGTTATCTTGATATAAACTTAGGTAGTCGATAAAAAATTTATTATTATTGTTTCAAAGAATTTAGATTGATTTATTTACATAAAAGACAATTGTTTATTATACTCCTACGATTATAAATGTATAGTTTGTACTGGTAATCGATGATCAAAACAACATCATAAAAATGTTAATATCTTCTTTAAAATTCATTTGATTTCTTAATATTTGTATATCTTTACGTAAGCAATTAAAACACACTTTTTACATATCAGAAAACAAGTTTATATATGCCATAAATCGTAAGAAAATAGCCAAGTTTAAAGCTGGTAATAATATACTTTTACACAGTATATGATAATTTAATAATTTGTTTTATGTCATACATGTATTTTTGAAAATACCATATTTTATTTGTTCAAATAATGATACTTCTGAAAATAATATATTTCCCTTATAT